CTCTCTCTCTCTCTCTCTCTCTCTCTCTCTCTCTCTCTCTCTCTCTCAACCAACATATTTAACAGATGGACACATTAAATTCACTGTTAAATGCAAATCAACCCTGAAAGGAGCCACACGCTGTGGTGTGATGCCCTTACTGCCACTCAAAACTTCATTTTTTACATTTGGCTTCTTTTTTTGTTTTTATAACTCATTGAAGTCCAGTGACTAAATTTGAATTCATGAAAGTAAACCTCTACAAATTCACCATCTAACTATAAATCAAGGAATCTCTCTCAGTCTGTGTGTCCTTCGCACATCTTGAGAGCCGCTCAGCCGATTTACTTCACATTTGGCAGCCGTATTGCTGGGGACCCGAGGGAGCGCAGTGTCGAGTTCGGTGCACTTTGGACACAAGACGCGTTCGATATTAATGAACTTTGAATAAGCAAACAGCCCTGTGTGCTTGGCAGTCGTGGAGGCGGGGCTTCAGGGCTCCGTGGTCTGTAGGTTGAGATCCACAATATTTGTAGACGCATGCGATGGGATACAAACGGCAAGTTGACTGACCATTCGCCGTGTCTAAAATTGCATTATCGCGACTCAAACCTCAACTTCATGCAAACGAAGTCTGTCCATCGCAAGACAGCAGGCTCGCAAACCTCCGGTCTATTTCTCGCCCCAAATGTCAGAAACATTTTAGTTAAGTCATATCTTAGTTAAGTTGTATCTTATTTAAGTAAGTGAAATAAGTCAAGCCAAAAAACAAGCACGGGCCGGAGCGTTTGGGGTTCCGTAACACCAAAGCGATTGGTGGATCTCCACGATAGACATAGCATGCTAACGCTACATGGATGCAGGATATTATTACAACCAAACTTTTCCTCAATTCCCTGTAGTCAACAACCAGACTGGAACAACGCCTCTCAGCCATTGCAACTCAAATTGTGTACATTTTTGCCAAACAAATTTATAACATTGCAACCGACAAAATAATGCAGCAGAGCCCGTCTGATTTCGAAAGTGTTCAAAATCTCACACTACTGGATTCTACAAACTCGACAGTATGTCCTGCATATTGCCTTATAAATGAACGATTAAGCTTAAAACTGTAGCGGCTTTCACTTTCACATTTCCAAACGGCCGTTATTTAGATAAACTGACCACATATTGGGGATTTTTTTGGGAGTTACTTTCTCGCATGGAAACGTATTAAAGTGGCAGATTAGCAGCTTTTATAACAGCACTCAAAACTTTCTTTTGAAGTAAACATTAAAAGTGAAACCATTACTACGGCAGTACTGCACAGTGAAAGTCCTACATTAAAAGTGTATCGAGAACGGGGTTGTTTGTCACACTTTCTACTCTAGCGTGAATTGCTCATCATCAAGACATCTTTCAATAGTCATTCCTACATTAAATTGAAGCTTAAGGTGTTGGCTTGAAATGTGTATCCCTCTCATTTTCCAACTTATTGTAACAAAGAGGTAATTAACTATCAACCAACCATTTCACATACATGAATGGAACTCTCCGTGAGGATTAAACTGATCTTGAGAAGCTAACTGAGGACTGCCCCTTTAACCTCTCTCAAACACACAAGCTTACACACAGCTCCCCTCACTCCCCACCTCCCGTTTCTGCTGTGTGGCAGCACTGCACAGCAACCGGGCTTGTAGCCCATTAAACACAGTTTTGTTCTACTCAGCGCGTCATCATCACTCTGATGCATCTGCTGATAGCGCCGTACAGAGGAACATTAAAACACAAGCTCCGCCGGTCACCAGGGGACCACAGGGCCTCGGCCTCATCACAAGCCTCACGAACCTCCTCCCTTAACCCTTACCCTAACCCAAAAACACCATCAGTGCACGGTATACTGCAATTACACATGCCACGGGCCGGAGAACACCGCGTGACTGCATATTGAACGCTCTGCACCATAAAAAGCAAAACTCAGGACAAAATCTCATCTGAATGCCTTTAGCTTGCAGGACAAAAAAACATTGTTTCTTTTTTGCTGTTCAAATGAAAACATGTAGACTACATAACTTAATAAATCTTAACACAAAAAGCAAGGAACACGAACAGGAAACATCTTTAGGCCAGCCTATATAACTATGCTACACCTATTCACTAGCTTAGCTGGGGTGCACTGGGCTCTGGTCGGTCTGTTGTTGAAGCAGGCGCAAATGCTGTCTCCGGGAATACCTCTCGGTTCAAGGGATATATTCCACTTGCCCGGAATCCTGCTTGAACGTTGCCCGGGGTAACTGCAAGAGGGAAGGTTGTAGCCACCAATTTGGGGATGTCATAGATAGTCATGGTTTTCCCGGGGTTGTTCAGCATCCAGGCAGTGGAGGCGGTGTTGACCTGCATCTTCAACGGGCCATAGACAGACACATCTAGGGGCTGCAAGCGGTGTGAGCAATGGGGAGGGAAGGACAACAGCACAACCCCATTCTCCTTGGCATACTTCAGCCCATCCACCGACAAGTGCGAGCTGTGGTTGTCAAGGAGCAGGAGGCATGGCATCTCCCTGCTGCATCTTGTATGGGACACAAAATGCTGAAGAAATTCAACAAAATGCTCCTCCTTCATCCACCCACTAGGATTCGCCGCTCCTGCACTTCCGGTGGGGGCAGAAAGCAAAAAATGGTCGTGGAAGTTCACCCGGGGGAAGATGAAAAATGGGGGGATACTATTCCCAGTGGCGGAGATGGCACAGGAGAGTGTTACCAGGGTTCCTCTCTCTGCAGAGGTCAAAGACCCGACTTGTTTGTAGCCTCTCCTGGCTACCACCTTGTTCGGCTTGTGGACAGTGGTGATATGAGTTTCATCCATATTCCACACCGACTGGGGCTCAAACTTGTATCGAGCCATCACCTCCTCCAAGTTGGTGAAGAAATGGCCCACGTTGTGCTCATTAAATGCACTGGCACGTGCTAGGCTAGTGGCCTCCGGGGTCCTTATGGAAAGCGATGGGTGTCTCTTCAGAAACCCAGAGAACCAGTCTGCCCCTGCCATCTCCTTCTCTGACCAGTTTGTGCGGACAGCAACATTGTTGTGCACTGCAAAGCTGTATGCCAGTTTGCGGACTTCGGTGGGAGAGAGGCCGAAATAAATATCGGAGGCATTTAATATATGGACTTGTCATGTAATTTCACCTGCCTGACTGCCCTCATCATGTCATCTGGTGGAGTGAGGCCCTTCTTCGTCTTCCGAGTAAAGTTTCTACCCATGTTTCTTTATAAAAATGAGAGAAAGTAATAGTAATCTCACCATGCATGATTTTGCCAACATAGGGGTTGGTTGACAACCAACCCCAAAGAGAATGTGACGACCAACCCCAACTGGAATTTCTTGCTTACATCAAGGCTAACAACTAGTTACCTAGCTAACAACAATCAAAACTATAGCTTTCCCTTCACCCTTTTTAAGGGTAAACATTTTTTGTTATAAACCCATTGTCTAAAAGCCTAGAAGAAAAATACTGAGGAGCTGAAAATTTTGAAAAGTCCTCTCACTTCAAATTCAGCTGTCTTACTCCAGAGATGACTATGCAAGTGAGCTCTGATCCCAATTCCTGAAATTTCAAAACTAACATTTTGCAAACAGCGCCCTCTGGTGGCGAGATATAATGAATGTGACAACCAACCCCGTTCTCCCCTACTTTAAGTTAAAAGTGAAAGGTGGAGCTTTCAATTCCAATATGCAGGTTTGACAAGTCATTGGCCCAATCTCCACACTAAAATACTTTGATGCACGCTCCCACAAAGTCCGTGAGGATATTTGACTAATAAATCACTTAATATGTTGCACATTCTAGACACTAGATGTCGACTAAATTTAGTGAAATTATCTCTGTCTTAACCTCTTTGCAAGGAAACTGATATTTTACCATACAAACCATTACACGCGCAACAGAAAACACATCACGAACAAACAAAACTTCATCTCTGCATCAAATAACCAAAGATAAAATGTTAGATAAAATAGGCTATCGCAACCCACAAAGACTGCCGCTAGATGACCAATTACACAATCTCCAATGTCAATGATGGTGACGTCAAGGTAAGTATAGGTCCTCCCTTATCCCTGAGATGCGTTAATACAACTCATGTCAATCAAATATTTCTGAAATTGAATGAGTCATCAACAATATAAGTTAGTGGACACAACGAAATTTACTGAATTTTATGTTTTTTTAAATAAAATGATGGCTTTTTTCGAATATTGACAAAGCCCAGCCCAACTTGATCAAAAGTAGGCGAATTAGGCAGAAACCAGCCCAATCTGGCACCACTGAGGACAACTCCCAGACCGGACAACGCCTTGGTAGCGACCTGCCAATCAGAAGGTAGCCACGCCCATAAAGCATACCCTGCTTTATGGTTTACTTTAATGTAAATGGTACATAATTTACTTAAAGAGCATTATGCTGTATTGAAGAAGACTTGAGATTATGACCATAAACTCATGTTTACAATGTTTAGAGTCATTTTCTCATAGACTTCTATACAACCAGAGGAGTTGCCCCCTGGTGGACATTAGAGAGAATGCAGGTTTAAGGCACTACCGCGCAGATAGACAGCTCAGTTAGCATCATGACTAACAAAGAACTTCCAACGTACAAATAAGAATTGGCTTATTTTTCAAATATAATTTCTTTTTATATTTAGTGAGTTTAAACAAGATAATTTCAAACATGAATAAAACAAAATAAATACACAACACAACAGGAAGAATGATAGAAGAGAAAATACAAAAAAATAGGCAGAAGCTATGGTTGACTGATTGGAGTTAGTATGACTAAACTTTACATTAAAATACATTCAACTACGTTAAACAGTACATCAAAACGATTTGAATTATCCCTCCTGGTTTGTAGTCCTCAGTGCCATAATCCCTCCTGTTTTTCTTTTATAGATTGATCTTCTCAGCTCGACATTTATGTGTTGACAAACCTTAACGCGACTCATTTAATTCCCTTGACTTTCAGTTCATCTTGAACTCGGCTGAGATACTCGGGATCTGGGTATCCATAGCTGCGAACACGAAAACAGAGCAGAAATTCAGTTACTTAGTCATAATGAACATTAATAAAATGAGACTCCTCCTTACTGAGTTGGTCCTCCATGTGTTGACGTTTTGTGGTGAATATCGTTCCATGTGACCATGTTGTTCCTGCCGCTGGTGGTGGACCGGCCAACGGTGAAGATGAGTTTCTGATCAAAGGCCCGCCTCAGCAGCGCCAGGATCCTCCTGCCCTCTGAGGAGTCTGGGAGATAGGCCGTACGGGACGCACCTTCGTATGACTGACCGGGGCTTGGATGCTCCTCCTGCGGGCGGACAGAAGAGGTTTCTGTGCTTAATGCTGGGAAATGTTGTTATGGGCCCTCCAGCGACTGGGAGTCCACAGTTCTTAGGAAGCAGTAGTTTTTTGACGGACATATATTAAAGGAAATATTGACCCACACACACACACATACAAAAGCCAGAAATAAGCTAATTCCAGCCAAAGGAGGGGGGTTAATACACACACAGCGCCACGTTAGTGCTCGTACAATACTTCTTCAAAAAGCAAGGACTTCTGATTAGAGGAAGAAGACAACTAAACGAGTGGAAAACTGGAATTTCAAACCCATAAAAAAGCCCATACAATTGAAATGATTACTGCTGGGCAATGCCAGAACAAACGGTGACAGAAATACATTCTGTGGTAACGGATACTGCCCAACGAGGTGTTCCATTATCAGGAATTATTGGACAACGGGGGAGGCCAGAGCCGTCCATTAATTCCTGATAATGGACATCTCGTCTGGCATTATCTCGTTATACCGTACAAGATATTACTCGTCCGCTCAGCTCATAGATCGGCTCAGCTATGCCCCGGAGACCTAACGTTACGCTACCAAGATCCGAAGTCGATAACATTGAGTACGGACAAGAAACAGTCCATTTATTTTGGACTAGATAGTAGAGGTTTGTGAATATCTTCGTGACAGAACATTTTATAGAAAATTGAGAATGCGTTGAGATGCATCCCGAATTGTCGTGCGTTTGAATAGTCAACAGGTGAATCATAATCGAACAGAATCGTGAGGACAGTGAAGATTCACAACCTCCAGCTATCCAACCATGTCATTGTCCCCCAAATCAGTATCAAGATTTTCATGAGATCTGGATTATCACAACGCTAGCATTAAGCCAACGTTATGCTAGCAGGACTCAAAGTCAATAGCCTTGTGTACGGTTGACAATCAGTTAATCCAACAGCATATTTAACAGCAAGACTGGCTAGCTATCCAGATTTTCACAAACAACTGCGAAGCCAGTGCATTAATTTCAAACAGTTTCAGTAGCTCGGTAAGTGTCCTTTATCAGGAATGAATGGACACCAATCAGCCAATCAGCATTGAGTGTTCACCCAGATGCGAGTCAGACGGTTGTGGTCTCCCCCTTGTTTATTTATTCCTGATAATGAACACCTCGTCAGACATTATCCCCATATTGCTTGTTAGGTTTACATGACGGAAGAAATGCGTAAAGACCTGAGTTAGAAGACTCAATATCTAGCCAACAGTACATGATACAGATGTACAGATAAATTGAATATTAATTATGATTTTGGCTTCCCACAATTAAATGAACACGATCGCTTGTGAAATTGATGCTTCTTTAACTAACGGCCGGCCACCAGGGGTGATCCAGATGTTTTGGGGAGCTTTCCTGAACGTCGCGGCTTCAGTCCACAGTAGAAGACCGATATACTGGAGAGCATACAGGCAAAACTAACTTCATATTCAAATAATTGTGATTTTAATAGTGGTCAAAATAATTGTGATAGAACATTATGAGTGCATTTTACAGTTGAGCCCACAACATAATAGCCTCTAGTTTAAGGTACTCGGGTGATATTGGCCCATGATACAGCAGTGGTGTGAGATCAGTCTGGTCTTACACTTTTCTTTTTTCCAATTGCTTACACACTAAAACGACACACAAAGCACAATTATTAAATTAAATACATATTTTCATCAGTGTGCAGTGCTGCTGGTTTGTGTGTTGTTTTTGGTCAACATATGCCTTTACTTCACTCTAACAATTTTGCTGAAAAATCAAACCCAGACTGTATCATTAGAAAAGTTGAAAGTGTTTTAGATTTGAATTTAGATCTGAATGGGTTGAGTGGTTGGTGGCAAGTACCGACTCTTAGTGACTTGAAGACTAGATACTCTGACAATCCAACAATGGTCTCCTGTTATCATGTAACCAAAGTTCTATTCTTCGACAATGCCAACTGAGACAACTCCATTTGCTGACTCACACTGCACAAGTTAAGCAAATTTTGTGAAATTTTCAATTGTTCAGTGTTGTACCTGTAGTCTTACCTTTTGGATGCCACTTGGAATGTAATAATGGATCGTTAATGTTCCGTATTTCTCATACCCCGGCAAAGATGAAATGTTTTTGGTGACCTTCATTTCGCCTCCATCGGGTTGTGTCCCTGTCAAAGCGCCGTACAGCTCCCCGCACGTCGGGCACACGGGCTTGTAGTCAAAAGCTCTTTTCAGACAGCTCTTGCAGAACGAGTGCTTGCACCGCAGAGTCTTTTTCTCTGTGGTTTCAATCAGCTCCATGCAGATTGGACATGGGTCCTCTTCGGGGCCTTTGCCGTGCACAGATGATGAACCCAAGGTCCTGCCACTTGCAGTGTCCGCCGGACCTCTGTCCACCGGACTCTTGCTCAAGCTTGGCGTATTTCGTGAAAGGAACTCTTTCAATTTAGCAACATGCATGAAGGGCCCCGTCACTGTCATTTTACCTCCGTTGCGACCAGGTTCAAAAAGGAGGTGCGGAAATCTCTTCTGCAGGTCTTTGTGGTCGCGTTGCGGACTCGCCGTAATGGATTCGACCTGCAGGTCGGACGCAGTTCTCTGGTAGAATGTGACGAACCGCTGCCTGACGAAGTGAACAGGGGTCGAGGAAGCATGGTGTGATCGGAAAGTCACCCGTACCGTGCTACTGGGGTCGTGGTGCACGGTTCTGGGCTCAGGCTGTGTTTCGATGACAAAGCTGCTACCTTGAATTTTCCCAAGTTGTTCTGCACGTTTTTGCTGAATGTAGACCATGACAACCCCGGAGACATCCACGGAGACATCCACGGGTTTGACGTGAGGTGAAGCGCGTTCACCCTGCGAACGAGTCCGTGTACGCGTGACAGGATCGGAGCGATCCCTCACCTCTGACAGCCTGGTCGAGAGGTTCTCCACCTCCTCAAAGGTTCCTCTCACCGTGTAGTAGGAGGCTTTTTTCTCCGAACGGTAAAGTTGAAGAATCTTCACTAATCTCTCAGGGTCTTTGAAAGAGGTTTCATCAACGGTGACAGTGATGCCTGTGATGAACTGCAACGAGACATGACAGCTGGAGTTAGTTATTAGCCATCTAAATGCTACATGCTAAAATGCTATTTCTAGGGTTCAAACGATTACCCAAGCACCAGTCAAACCGTCTGGATCAGAGCTTTATTTCAACATTTGTTTCATACACCTATAGAGTGCTGCAGGAATAAGTCTTAAAACCAGGAAATGAGCAAGCGTTTTTTTACTTCTGGTTCCCTCGTCTGGAAGTTAATGTTTTTTTAAAATGCCTAAGTTAAAGTTTGTGGTAACAAAATTTGAACAGATTTTACCGTTTTGTTCCACAACTTCATCAGTAAATACCCCTCTGGTGAATTTTGAAGCTTTTAAGCTTCTTTAAAAAAAAAAGACGTTGCTAGCAAGTAGCTAAATGAGACTACAAAACGTCATCACGCCGATTAGTCCGTCCACACAGCCTCGGTGTGTATACGCGCGCTCAAGTGTGGTGTAGTTTAGTTGTAGCTTAACATTAGCTTTTTACGTCTGCCAATTGCATTCACGCTTCAAAAATCATAAAAGTGGAATTCATTTGTCAAGATTATCTTGCTAAATAAACAAGGTACGTATCATTAATTTATGTTTACCACCTTTGGGAACCAGTGTGATGCTAACTTCCTGGTTGGCCTACAGAAACACATCATCCCTACAGCACTCTGTTATAAAGCAGAAGAGTGTACGGACATTAAAGAAACACTTCACTATCACAAGCTCGTAAACGGATGTTCTGATTAGGGATAGGTCATCATTTATGAATAGTCATTAAATTATGAAACAAATCTAATAGTTTATGCCTAATGCTGAATGAAATGATTGGATAGGCTCATTACAGTCCTGCAAAAGCCAGAGTTACCAGATTTTTTTCTCGTTTTTTTTTTTTGTCATAGCATTGAAGTGTGTGTAATTCGTGTCTTGGAGCATAATTGCTGGGTTCAGGTGGGTCTTGTCATCATAAGAAGTCCTAATTTTACCATCAAGAATCTTCCATCAAACAACCATCAAAACATAAAAAAGTCTAAAAACCTGAGAAGTAAGCCTACTCTGATAGCCGACAGACTACTCTTATTATAATTAATAACAACAGGACATTCTATTCACAGAGCGCATACTCAAATATGCTGAAGTTTACAGTATGAGCTGTGGCCCTCATGTTTAAACATGAGGACCTTTTATTTTGAAAGTCAGACGCCAAAAACCGGAAATCTCACTTCGTGATTTTCCGGCATGCTTGCAGCACTTTCTCCCCGTAGAAAACAAAAGGTGTCGTAGTAGTTTGCTTTAGCGACTGAGTCAAAAGGAGAACGGTCGATTCGCAGCAATATTGTGGATCTTTTTCAGAAAGAAAAAACAAACTACCACGACAATAACAACAACTAACTATCAGATGGGTGAAACCTAAAAGCAAAACTTCTCCGACTGACGTCCGCTATGGAACCTGTTTCTGCTCTCGTCGTCCTTTAGCCTGCTTACGCGGGTCTATTGTTAGTGTAAGCCAGGGTAATATGTGGGACCTACCTCCATGCTGCAGGGTTCTCCTGACACTGTGGCAACACTCTCCGTACACACTGGTGACTCGGCTGCTTTTCGCTTTCGCTTTCAGGGTCAGCATGTTTGTTGCGTTGCAGCGACCCCTGCCGGTGACCGAGTACATAACACCCCGACATAAGAACTACTAACAAAGAAGTCAGTTGCAGGATATTATCACAAAGCCACACACGTGCGTTCTTCACAGTGGATGAATGAGTATATTTACACACTTACCTTATACTTACATACATACTTTTACACTACATCTCAGAGGGAAATGTGCTCTTCACTGCGCTACGTTCATTTGACAATTACCTGCATTTGGAATTTTTTTTAACGCATGCATATGTGCCATAAGATTTATTTTTGTTCTTTTGCAATTTCTAGAACAAAATAATCTAAATATATCTAGCAAAAGCAAACACTTTATTCAAAACTATACTAACACTTTTAAAAATGGTGTTTTGGCATCACAACTTTACATGCAAACACCAAATAAATGGTCACTTCTATATGCAGCTGCACACTGTAGCACTGAGTATAAAATACTTTTCTCTAGAGGCTCTGGCATTTTTAATCTCAGCATGCTGTAAATAAAGACTACGAACACACGTGCAGCGTGTTTATTCTCAATACTTAGAACAGTATCTGCAGTTACTTTCAATAACTCTACAAAATTGTCCTCCATTGTTGTGCACACCAAAGAGCCAACCTGAATCCTATTGATAGTGTTCAAGCTCTAATTTCTAAGTGATCTAATTGGTCACAGGTGTTTTCACAGGTGCATTCTGGGTTCTTTAGTTTTGAATGACATGTCGAATGTAGATATTAAAAGTGTGTTTTAGAATTTGAGACTTAGTGTATCAGATACTGTGTTTATGGTTCAGCATATATATAGTCAACACGAGTTACTGCTCTCAGTAATTGTGCCACAAGTACCATTGTTTGTGTCTTAAAAAACAAGTCATCATAATAAACTTCATTTGTGAAGCATCCATGAAATGCAGCTCAAAGTGCTGGACATGAAAACACAAGGGGAAAAGATTGTAAATCTAAAAAAAATAGAAAAATAAGATGAGATAAAATAAAAAGAATGCATAACACAAGATGTAGAGAAAATTGATTATTTTATAGGTGTTTTCTGATTTATGGAGTGATATGAAGAGATATCCAAAATTCCCTTTTTTTTTAAACGTTGACTCTAAAATGTCGACCAAATAAAACTGATGCACATCAGCATATTAAAACAAACATTTTCATAAAACTTGCAACCCCAAAAATGATTGTCTTAATGTAAGTAATCGACTGGGGAAGTTTCATGGTGATATCTATGACCTATTAAAATGATGAACGCAGGACCGTAACTTGTAATAAAGTTTTTACACATAAAGTTTTGAAACTGTATTACTGTTTTTACTTCAGCAATAGATCAAAATAGCCTTCTTGTATAATGTAGATATAAAATAAATACAAACAGTCCCCTTACATCTCCTATTTTCTTTTATCCCAGCTACAGACATTGAAACAATTTAACCTTTATAGATTTAAGTAAAATCATAATCACAATGTTGTTTCAGAAATATTGACATTTAAATTCAGACGCCGGGAAGAAATTCACGGCTTCTGTATCCGCTCTCTGTTTGCAGTACCGGTGTTTGTCCAGCAGGTGTCAGCGCAGCTCCACGCATGGACTTCGTGGAGCTGCGCTGAGCAGAGCTCAGCCGCCATGTGACCGTCCGGTCCCGACACACCAACAGCTGTGGGGGGTTTTTCTCTACCATCTCTGTTGATGTTATTCATCACGCGACGTCTTTTCGTTCATTTCCGACTCTCGGCCAGCAGAACATACAGAGGGGAGCTGGATGGGTCGCTCGTGAAAAGGGCGGGCTGTCCTGCTGCGGTCTCTCCGCCGCCGGCGACACTCTCATCAGCCGATACAGACTCTCGGGCGTCCCGGTCCCAGCACAGTACGTACGGACAGAGGACCGCACTCACACGGGCGTTTACAGACGGTTGGATCCAGAATTGACGCTTTAGACATGTTGAAATGTGACTCTTTGTTTATCTGTGCTGTGTGGATTTTATTTTTTAAACACTATTGGCCGAGTTGTGTTTGAACGCAGTCCGTAGCTATAGTGCGTGGATTGTTATGTGAAATTTAAAGTTAATTTCCCGTTTCTCCATACCACAAATAAGTCTATTTAGGCCCATACCTATATATTACAAATGTGTTATATATTTTGTATTTATTTAAATCTATATATATATATGTTTTGTTAGTTTATTTTATGGTTAATTGTTACGGATAAGGGAATTAATTAGTGCAGCAAATGAGTGTCATATTATTGTGTCAATTATGTATCTTTAAAAAGCTGAATTAAAAAAGCTTTGCAATTGAAAAAAACATCAACAACAAATCATACAATAGGATTAAGATAAATGAATAGTGTTCGATTGTATTTGAAAAAAAATATATATTTTTCGCAAGCTTCAGAGTGAAATAGATTTCTGTATTGTGACGTGGCGCTTCAGATATTAACGGAGCAAAGACAAAAGTAGGCTGTGACCCGAATTCATCGCCCTCCTCGTGCATCAACCTGTTTTTTTTTAGATAATATCAGCAGTGGAAGTATATCACGTGGGTCGGAATGGACGAGGTTTAGACATCTGTCAAATTCAGCCAATAGAGTGTACATTAGTAATATTGAAAAAAAAGGCAGGAGATTCAGTCCAGTTTCTAATCTGATCACACAAATCAGACGGAAGCAAAAATAACGCCTCCAAAGCGTCATGGATAGCACGAGAGAGATCAGCGCATGACGCATTTTTCACACGAATTTCAGGAGCACCTTAGGAGAAAGAGAGAGAGGAGGGTGGGGGGGGGGAGTCATTTAATTTAATTGAATCGAACATGAACTTAAAAAGCAGGCCGTTGGATGCGGGCTAAATCGTAGAGCGGAGCTATACCGGCCTTCACGCGAGCCGCGTGCAGCCCCGGCGGTAGTTGTGACACGGTGTCAGAGCCGCCTGTCACACGCGTCATCATCCTCTGATCTCAAGGTCAAGCCGCGTGCGATGGAAGCCCCGTGTATGTGTCCGGGCTGCTTCTGGTCACATTGTTTGTTGAAGATGACAGCTACAGTGATGTTCTGTTGTCAAAAAAATAAATCACAATCATCAAGTTTAAAAGAAATGTCCTTACTTTCTGAGTAAAAAATTCATTTGTGTGCATTTGTCACAGTGAACACAGTAAATCCTGTTGTTTGTCAGGCTCTTCTGGCCCGTGCTCTCTCAGCTCTCTCAGCTCCAAATGACGTATACAGTATTGATTCATTATTCACTACTTCCATCCTTCCTCCTTATCTGCGGCTCCTGCTAATTCAACCCATCCGCCATCCATCATGTCATTTCTAAAAGTCAACATTGATTTGCTTGTATTTCTCTACGTATAGCTTTTTTTGGTCATGTGATTTGACCTTGTTGTTGTTGTTGTTGTTGTGTATTATAATTTTTGGACCTTACTAATTATTGATCGAGGCTCAGAGGCGTTTCCACACGTTTTTTTCGACTGGGTCCAAGTGTGTGCGTACACACACATACACACGCACACAGAATCATCATTCATTTACTCGATCTGTCTCCACTACTCGTATTTACTTTATTTACTAACATTACTGTATCGTAGTGTTTGTTTCATTGCTGTGTTTAAAACTTTAAAGATAAATGAAGCCAATCAAGACACATTGGCATTATTCTTTAAGCGTAATGTCTTATGTACACA